CCCCCCCCCCCCCCCCCCCCCCCTCCACCTCCTCCTCCCCCCCCTCTCCCCTCTCTCCCCTCTCTTCTCTCTCTCTCCCCTCTCTCTCTCCCCTCTCTTTAAAAAAAAAATAATAATAATAATTCTTTCATCTGGAAATCCTGAACATACTTGTCCAAAAATATTACCGTCTGTCTTGTTATGGCCCTAATATGAGCCATTGATGTATGATCATACTGTTTGTTTACTGTGATGGTAAGGCTCAGGAGAAGCAAGGCCAAACCCTAGGGTGCCAACATTTAAAGCGGCACTACCCAATAGAAATATAATTTAAGCCTACATATATAGGCTTAAATTTTGTAGGAGCCACATTAAAAAGTAAAATGAAACAAATGAAATTATTTTTTTATCCAACATATCCAAAGTCGTATTTTTTCAGCATGTGCTCCCCTCTATTAAAATAAAGAGTCCTGTTGCTCTGCAGTCACTCACAAGGCTGCATAGGGTCCATTAAGCACAAAAAAAAAAAAAAAAAAAAAAATTAAGTCCATTGTCCATTTTACAGCCTATTCACAGACTAACCATAAACAGATTAACAGGAAGGAGAGTTGGCTATGGTGATGAGATGTAGAATGAGGTAAACACAGAATACAAGCCATGAGTTGGGTGTGTTTTGTTTTCTGGGATTGAACTCGGAGCATCTAATACTAGGCCACGTCCCCAGCCTTTTTTCTTTTTTATTTTGAGGGTCTCACTAAGTTCCTTAGGGCCTCATTATATTGATGACGCTGGCCTCAAACCTTTGATCCTCCTGCCACAGCCTCAGTCAGTGGGATTACAGGTGTGTGCTACCACATCTGGCAAAGTGGTGGTTTTTGATGCAAGCTCTTTGATGGTGTGGTGTGATAGATGGCCAGTGTTCCAATATTCTCAGCAAGTAACTTACAAGACCCCAGTAGATGCCTGAAACTACAGATAGTACCTAATCACAAATTTAATGCCTTCTCCCTCTTAAATAGGCTTTTATCACACTCTGTGGCCATAACTGTAGTGGGTTGAGGTACAAAAGCAAAACATTTCTTTTTCATCAATTCACTATAGAAGATTCATTCTTATTGTGAATCTTAGAAACTTCAAACTTTTTTTTTTTTTAATCCTTATTAAGTCAAAAAGTTTCACCTTTTCATGTAAAGGAAATGAGCTGGATCCATGGGAAAGTAACTGGTTAGAGCTGATATGGTGATGTTCCCCTGTAGTCTCAGCTACTCTAGGGAGGCTGAGGCAGGAGGATCACAACAAGTTTGAGACCAAGCTTGGCAATTTAGGAAGACCCTATCTCAAAAAGAACTGGAAATGTAGCTCAGTGGTAGAATGCCTGTTGGTTGAATCCCTGGTAGAGAAGGAGGAAGGAGGAGAAAATTGATTAACAGATTACTATTTTTTTATAAGGAGCATGAGTGACTACATTTTGATTTTTAGCCTACTAAGTACAGGAGCTAAGTCCAAAACAATGATCTCCTGTATTTTTTACTTAACAGACTACATTAAGCAAATAAATCAGATTATTGTGGCCATTTAGAACTTGTTTCAGTGTATAGAAAAAAATCAAGGCATTAGGTTATAAAATTCTTTCCTCCCAAGGATTATTAGGTACCAGAAATTTAAGGCCAGGGGCCTGGGGGTGTAGCTTAATGATAAAGCTGGAACTTAACATTTAAGTGTGAGGCCCTGAGTTCAACCCTCAGTACAAAAAAAAAGTTTATGAATTTGCATTTTTATGTCAAAACAAGGTTAGTGAAAACATCTCTCGAGATCCACCATCAACTGCCAGGCTCATATTCAGCATTTTCCCAAATCTAGCCAACCACAGCAGTTACTGAAAAAGTAGCATATGCCCAACAAAACATTTGTGTCCCATTCCAGGTACTAGAGCAGACCTTGTGTGCACTTATACAGTTTGTTCAGCAGCAAAGATTTATTGCACATGTACAAATTCCAACTAGTTTACAGCATAATTGCTGAAAAGAATCTGGAGGAATATGTATTATTAATCCAACCTGATCTGAACCTATATTTTATCTGAGAAGCAAGTAGGAAGACCTAAGGCAAAACCAGTCTTATTTTCTTACACTATTTATAAGTCTTTTTTGGTACCTGGGACTGAACTCGGGGGCGCTCGGCCACTGAGCCACATCCCCAGGCCTGTGTTTTGTATTTTATTTAGAGACAGGGTCTCACTGAGTTGCCTAGGACCTCGATGTTGCTGAGGCTGACTTTGAACTCTCAGTCCTCCTGCTTCAACCTTTCAAGCTACTGGAGCCTTTGCTTCTTAATAAAGCCATGTTTATTGAAGTTTCCCAGGCATCTAAAAGAGTGGTAGATAGATAAATAGGAGATGCTTAGTAAATATTTGTTTACTGGTTGAATTTTGTTAATAGAATTGAATCACAGTTTGTGATCTCAGCCTAAATTCCAGGTTGTTTAATGTTTCTTTAGAGCCTCTATCTCTACAGTGAGAATCAGAGTGGATAAAGTATTAAGTAGAACTTCCAGGAAGCCATTGTTTTGAGGTTAGGTCCTGTACTAGATGCCAGCAGATCAGGATAAAAAAATCAAAATGGAGTCATTTAGGACTAGGATGAGTCCGTCACTCTACCTAGAACCGTGGGTCTTTGTAATGGTAAAACCTATAAGTCATGCTGGGAAATTAGAAGTTGTGACTCTGGTTAACTTAATATCGCCCCTGATGTCCCTTTCTCTTATGGCTTGGACCAAATATTTATTGAATACATACATTATGCTAGACCTTAATCTCCAACTCCATATATCTGTTCAGACAAAACCCAGACTTTGAAAACATTTGAGCCAGACATGATGAGACACACCTGTAATCCCAGCTACTTGGGAGACTGAGGCAGGAGGATTAAAAGTTTGAGGCCAACCTGGCCAATTAAGCGAGACCCTATCTCCAAATTTATTTAGTTTTGGTAGTGCAGAATGACCCCAGATACAATTTACCACTGAACTATACCCCCAGCCCTTTTTGTTTTTTATTTTGAGACATGGTCTTGCTAAATTGCTGAGGCTGTCCTTGAGCTTGTGATCCTCTTATCTCAGCCTCCCAAGCTGTTGAGATTATAGCGTGCAGTGCATTAGGCTTCAAAAAAAAAAAAAAATTTTTTTTAAAGAGGGGGTGGGAGAGAGAGAGAGAATTTATTTATTTATTTATTTTAGTTCTCAGCGGACACAACATCTTTGTATGTGGTGCTGAGGATCGAACCCGGGCTGCACACATGCCAGGCGAGCGCGCTACCACTTGAGCCACATCCCCAGCCCAGGCTTCAAAATTTTAAAAATATAAAATTTCCAGTACTGGAAAGAAAAGAGAAAAAGGAAAAAACATAAGAGGGGAATAAACTTAATTGAACAAATCCATTTCATATTCAGTAATTTTTTAAAAATTTTTTTGTAGTTGTAAATGGACAGCATACCTTTATTTTATTTATTTTTTTGTGGTGCTGAGGATCGAGTCCAGTGCCTCACACCTGCTAGGCAAGTGATCTTTCACTGAGCTACAGTCCCAGCCCCTTCAGTAACATTTTCTAAAACGTGCTATTTATGAAAAAATGCTTTTAAAATTTTTAAATAATATACTGGTTGCCTAATTATCATCAGAGGGATAATTTACCATTGATTAAGTCAAGATTATTATTTTATTGGGTGGACAGTACTAACAACTTTGACCAGTTAAGTTTGTAGAGTTGGTAGTCTCGGTAGACACATGGTAAATTTGTTTTTTTCCCCAGAAACATTTATAGAAGCTATATACTAAGGTTGTTTGAGAAGGAAAATATCTGCCCTTTGCAAAAACATTTTTTTCTGTTCAATATCCCTGATTCCAGGACATTGGCCAAGTATTTATATGAACTCAGTTTGGGGTTTTGTTTTGTTTTGTTTCGTTTCTCCATGCCAGTAGGATTCTCCCACATTCCATGAAAAATTAGAATATCCCTTTATTAAGACAAGACTATTTTAAGGCCTCACGTTTCATATTGAAACACCCCCTAAACATTGAATATCTTTAAACAAAAAATAATAGTAAAAGAGTCTTTCAAATCATTACAGTTATCCACAATTTCAGTATATGCTTGAAAATCAACTTGAATTCTTTCTACTCTTTTTTTTTTTTTTTTTGGTTGGGGATGGGTACCAGGGATTGAATTCAGGGGCACTTGACCACTGAGCCATATCCCCAGCCCTATTTTGTATTTTATTTAGAAACAGGGTCTTGCTATGTTGCTTCGGTACTCAGCCTCCTCAGCTGCAGGGATTATAGGTGTGTGCCACCACACCCAGCTAAACTCTTGATTTTGTTCCAGTCATGCTGGGAAGTTAGAAAAGGTAATTGATTTGAAGATTATAAAGTATATTCTAGGACAGCTGAGTGTGTGATTTTTTTATAGGATATTTTGAGGTTCTTAACAGAGCCTGAAACTATCTTAACAGTCAAGGACCAAAAGGCCCTGGAGGGTAAAGTGGGCACCAGGGTCACCACTTGAGTCCTCTCTTTTCTTTGTTGCAGGAAAGGAAGGGTGTAGCTTTGTGGTTGAACTCTAAAACTGAGGGATCTTGTCTTCCCTCCCCCCTCCCCTATGTCTACTCCTAAATTGCTCTTTACTCTTTGCTCTAGCCCCACCCCCACCCTCTTCTCCATATATAGGCAAGAAAACAGGGAAATGCTGGTATTTTTTGTTTTGTTTTTAAGAATCTGAGTAAGAAAACTATAGTTTTAAGGAAGCGGAAACTGGTTTCCCTCCTCATTTTCTTTCTGTAATATCATCTGGATGTACCCTGTTAAACTGGCTGTCAGCCCCAGGTTCCTTCTAGAATTGCTTTTTAAGCTCTTTTTAATTTTCTTTTTCTCTTATTGCTCTTTGTCAGTGATTAATTTGTTTGCCTCAATGAAATTTTTCAATGTGTAGTGTGTTACTGCTTTACAGATTTATTTTTATTCTGTAATTGCCAAAATTAGGGAAAGACTGAAGATGGGAAATTTAACATTTTCTGTATCTGCTTAAATCTGACCATTGTATATCTCTTTGTACAAAGACCCCATTTTCTCTCTCATCCATCACCAGCTCTTTCTACCTTGAGATATTCATTCTCATTCTGCCCTTTATGCCTACTTTTCCTGTTGGCCAGTCACCCAGAAAGCTGCAGACTCCAGGCCGTCCCTCATCCCTTGGAATCTTGATGTCTTACAGCTCTCTCTGCCCATTTTTTTTAAATTACTTCTTCTGCTACCCTCCCCCAATCCTTTTTACATTGCCTTCTGGGATATACAGCAGAATCCCCTATATATATTTTTTTATATAGATCTTTTTTTCCATTTCTATTTATTTATTTATTTATTTATTTATTTGGTTGGGGATGGGTACCAGGGATTTTTCCATTTTTTATTTCATTTTTTTTTTTTTTTTGGTTGGGGATGGGTACCAAATCCAGGGCCTCACACATGCCAGGCAAGTGCTTTACCAGTGAGCCACAACTCTGGCCCAGAATTCCCTATATCTTGAGCCTCTTCTGAACATTCTCTTTTCCTGTAACAAAACCTTGCTTTCTCTTTAGGTCCTGTTTGATCCCAGCATTACCAGGTTTCTCCTCCTCTACCAAGTGGTCACTTTTATCCTCCAATATATCTTGTGCCATTTGGCCAAAAAATGGTTTGGTACCTACCTTACTCCTCATTACCACTTCCAGAAATTCTTCCATCTTTTTCTATAGAAACACCCATGAATCTCAGGTTCTCAGACTATGCCAGTCATCAGCCATTCTCTTTATAATTACCCACAAACACCCAAATCTTTTCTGAAGATTTTTTTTTCAATAGCTCTCCTGTCTAATCTTTAGTGCTTTCAGTATCTATGTAGACTGTCCTTTTGATACCCCACACTCAATTTCCTGAGCTCCAATGAGCTTGTCCTCTGCCATGCTATAGCCACTCATTCACAGTCATGCCCAGACCTGTCCTCTTCAATGTTGCAGTCTCAGAATCTCGTTTTCTGGCATCTGACTCTGATCACCACACCTCTTTCCACTTGGCTTCCTCAATACCTTTTCTCTATGTTCTTCAGCTCCACTGGCCCTGCAGCCTATTGCTCCTCCTACCTTTTCAGATGCCTACATCTCTTTCCAGCTCCCACTTTTTTTTTTTTTTTGGTAAGGGATTGAACCCAGGGGCACTTAACCACTGAGCCACATCCCAGCACTTTTTTATTTCAAGATAGAACCTCACTAAGCTGCTGAGGCTGGTTTTAAGCTTACTATTCTCCTGCCTCAACCTCCCAAGCCGTTGGAATTACAGGCATGCACCACTAAGCCTGGTGCTCCCATTTTTTTCTGCTTATTGTCGTGGGCTTTCTCAGCACACCTATTTCTATTCACTTCTAATTGTTCTCAAAGTGGTTTTATTATTAGGATTTCCTTCAGATTCTGAATTTTCTGAAAGGAAAAAACTCTAGTACCTATTGCAAGCTGAATATTGTCTTGGCATTTATCTCCTTTAATTTCCATAACAGTTCTGTTACATGTATTCCCATATGGTTGGAAACATAGGCTCTGAAAGGTTTAGTACATATCAGGGTCGAAGAGGTAAGTGTTGAAGTTGGACTTGAATCCTGATCTAACTTTCTATATACCCTGACTTATCAAAATTACTAACATTTCAGAAGTTAATTTGTCGTAGGAAAGAACTGAACAACTATTGGCTCTTAAATGTAATCATCATGGATAAGTAAGGAAATTCATTTTTTTTTAATCAGTTAAGGAAACTGACTCTAGGTCCTATTAACTACAAAGCTTTGAATATTCTTTTTTTCCCCCTTGAAAGTGAAAAATTCATCAGTGACCTCTTTCTCTTAAACGTGCACTAACAGGTCTAGAACAAAGTTATCTGTAAATAATTCATACTGAGGCAGAAATAAAATGAATTGCATAATCAGAACTTTAATCATCCTAAAAATTCTATTTGCTCAAGTCTTTGTGTGTGGTTTGACTCAAAATGTCTTCTAATTATATGTTCCTCTGTCCAGCGATCCTGCCATGAAGCAGTTTCTACTGTACTTGGATGAGTCCAATGCCCTGGGGAAGAAGTTCATCATTCAAGATATCGATGACACTCATGTCTTCGTAATAGCAGAGTTGGTTAATGTCCTCCAGGAGCGAGTAGGTGAATTAATGGACCAAAATGCTTTTTCTCTTACCCAGAAATAAAATATTAGATATTGATTGTTTAGGAATTGTAAGCAACAAATAGGAAAGACTGTCCCCATTCGGTGGCTTATGTGGCTGAGGAGCATGCTGTGGGAAAGACTATAATCATTTGTTAAGACAAAAACCCAGAACTGATTTTTGTTGTACTTCAGAATTAAAAGTAAAAAAACTAACAATTGACAATTGGCTGTAATTTGGCTTTTATTATCCTTTAACAAAATAAAAACAAATGTTTTTCCTATCTTTTTAATACCAATTTAATACATTAAGAATAATGGTTGCTGGGGCAGGGATTGTGGCCCAGCAGTAGAGCACTCGCCTAGCACGTGTGAGGCGGTGGGTTCGATCCTCAACACCACATAAAAATAAATAAATAAAATAAAGGTATAAAGAAAAAAAATAATGGTTGCTGAGTGTAGTAGTATGTGCCTGAAATCCTAGCTACTCTGGAGGCTGAGGCAAAAGGATTGCAAGTTCAGAGTTAGCCTGGGCAACTTAATAAGACTGTTTCAAAATTAAAATAAAAACAGCTGGGAATGTATTTCAGTGTTAGAGCATCTCTGGGTTTAATCCCCAGTACTGTAAATCTGTAGAAAGAGTATGTACATGCCTTTAAACGATCATTGTAATCTCAGTATCTGTTTTGCTTTTCTTATTAATGATTGTGGACTTGTGGCTATGGTTGTTTTGTTTTAATTAGAAATTTCACAGATCTGCTCTTATTTTTAAGAAGTTATGTTCGGGTAAATGTTAAATATCTTTCTTTTGAGACTGTTAAGAAACATAAGACAGTGTAACAGTAGGAAGTCCCCTTGCAGTTAGTTGCTTCGTTTGCTTGTCTGGCTGCGAGTGAACAGGAAATGTGCCAGTGACTCTTTGCACCCACCCTGTATCTTGGGGTCTGATTTCTATTTAATTTGGCATACTGTAGATGCCCAGAACAAGACTTGTTGTGGGCTTGGCACTGGAGAATTTACTGTTATAATGTTTTATTTTTAACAAAGCCTTTTCTATTGGAAAAAGATAGCATTAACCTGAATTTTCTTAACTGCATGAAAAAAAACATTTTAACTTGAGGGTAGCTGGTCAGTCACGCGGATCTGTGCACTAAAATTGATTTAGAGTTGTACTTATTTTTTTGTAGTTAGGTGCAATACTTTTACTTTATTTATTTATTTTTTTGTGTACTAAAGATGGAGCCCAGTGCCTCCCTCGTACTATCTACCACTGAGCCACAACCCCAGCCCAGAGTTGTACTTCGTGATAAGTGTCTTTTATTTTAACTGTATTGGATCAGAAACTCTTAATTCCTTCAAACCCCCATTTTCTTGGGATATTTAGTGTGATCCTGTGTGTTTGCATCACAGTTGATATAAAAATGTGTATTGAGAAATCAGTTCAGGTGAGCAGTAACTAAACATTACTGATAATAAATAACAAAGATTAGCCTCCTTTTTTCTGATACACTATAGATGGTAATCAAAATTATTAATGATTTTATTGCTGTTAACATTAGCTATAACAGGTGGTTTTACATAATTGTACTTTTTGGGGGAGAGAAACTGAGGATTGAACTCGGGAACACTCAACCACTGAGCCACATCCCCAGCCCTTTTTATTTTTTGAGATAGTCTTGCTAAATTGCTGAGGCTGGCTTTAGATTTGTGATCCTCCTGCCTCAGATTCCCAAGCCACTTGGATTATAAGTGTGTGCCACCATGCCTGGCCATTTTGTCTCTTAATGGATGAAAAATGGTATATGTTAAAGATGGAGAGATTAGGGGCTGGGGTTGTAGCTCAGTGGTAGAGTGCTCGCCTAGCATGCACGAGGCACTGAGTTTGATTCTCAGTACCACGTAAATACAAAATAAACATAATTGTGTCTACCTAAAACTTTAAAAATTTACAAAAAAGAAAAGATTTATCAAAAAAAAAAACAGATGGAGAAATGATGCAGTTTGCAAATATAGGCAATACATATTCTCAAATGTGCATAGTTCTTTTCCATTTGCAGGCAAGTTATCTGTTGAGATTTTTTAATAAGATTTTAAAACACTGTCAATTATAGGAAAGTAATTGACAGCATTGACTGGATCCATCACCTCTCTGCTCACCAGCACTGGGATCTCCCACACATCATTGAATTTCTCTGTACTTCTCGATCCTCATTTGTAAAACCAGGAAACCTACTTTCAAAGATTATTGAGATGATTGTTAAGTTAACATACATAAAGCAGATAGTTATGAAATTTAGTTGCCCTGAATCTAGAAGAGCACAGTGACAAAGGGAACAAATGAAATTTTTAGCACACAAAATTTTTTCCTCTGCTGTCTCCATGCAGTGGGAGAAGCAGCAGATGAGGGAGGAGGGGAACTCCTAGAACAAAAGCACTGGGGAGATAGGTCCACAGCTGCCCAGTGTCATTGCTGATTTTGAAACTGATCACCAGAGAGTTACTTGGTGGTTAAATAGACCTTTCCTATCTTTGCTTTCATTCTGGAATGATTGTCTATATAGATATAGAATGCTTGGGTCACAATGCATTTCCATCAAAACAGCCATTTTTCATTGTCCTCAAACATTTACTCTCTGAATCCAGTTTGAATTTTATTCTTTCAAATAACTTTCCTCTCTGGATTACAGGAGTTTCCCTCAAGTCATTTTTCTTGTTTGTTCACCCTACTGTTCGTTTTCTAATTGGATCTCAATCCCTTTCTCCTTTCCTTTATTCCTCTGCATTGTTTATTATTTCTTTTATATTTTAAAGTTTGACCAGTGTATCTCTTGTTAATTTTTCCTAGAATATGTGAGTCTTCTTGGTTTCCTCAAGTTCTGGAAGTCTGTTTTGCTTTGCTTGGAGGATTCTTTTAAGTTTTTAGATGAACAGGTTTTCTATTATAACTTTAATACTTCTATTCTTTGGGGGTTTGTTTGTTGTTTTCAGCCCTGAATTGAGCCTAGGGCTGCCTATCGCTGTGCTACATCGCCAGCCCTTTTTTGGTTTTCTGTTTTTGAGACAGTGCGGGGAACTTAGTAAGACCCTATGTTCAAATATGTGATCCCTCCTGCCTCAGCCTCCTGAGTTGTTGAGATTACAGGCATCTTTTTGTTTTTCTTAGAAACATATAAACACAGTTCTTTATTTCTCCATGATTAACACCTTATCTCATTTTCTTTTTAAAGTTTTTGATTGGCTCATAATTGTACATATTCGTAAGGTGCAGTGTAATAATTCAATACATGTAAACTATAATTTTCAAATCAGAATAAGTAGCATTTCCATCTCCTTAAACATTTACCATTCTGTTGGGAACCTTCAAGCTTCTCTCTTTTAGTTCCTTATAAAATATTTGATAAATCATTGTAAACTGTGGTCTTCCACTTCTCCGCAATGGAAGGCTAAAACTCGCTCCTCCCATCTAACTTTACATTGGTCCCCCTTATCCATTTCATTGCTTTTTTAAATTTTCTATTCCAGGAATGCTTTCAAATTGGTCACTAAACTTGATTCACTTTTTTAGTAAAAATTGGTTCCTGCTGTTTTCACCGTGATTTTATTTTGGTCTTGATCATTTGTTCCATTGCACTCACTTTAAACTCTTTCTAGCCACAGCCATTTTTAGTTTTTGTTCAATTCAGGTCCACTTGAATCTTTTTTTTTTAATTTCTGTATCCCTTTTTTTAATATTTTTCTTTAGTTGTCCATCTTTTATTTATTTATATGAGGATCAAACCAAGTGCCTCACACATGCCAGTCAAGTGCTCTACCACTGAGCCACTACTCCAGCCCTATTTCTGTATCTTATTTATTTTGGTAACAAGGATTGAATTGAGGGGCAGTAAATCACTGAGCTACATCCCCAGCCCTCTTTTATATTTTATTTAGAGATAGCGTCTCATTGAATTGCTAAGCACTTCACCATTGCTGAGGCTGGCTCTAAATTCATGATCCTCCTGCCTAAGCCTCCCAAGCCTCTGAGATTACAGGCCTGCACCACCACTCCCAGCAGTATCTTTTTCTATGAGTAACGCATTCATTTACGGGGATTGGGAAAGGGAAGCAAAAGAAGAAAACGGCATTCATAATCTGGCCAATCAGGAATAACCATTTAGACTTTTGGTGACAATCTTTGATCCTTTTTCTAAAAATATAAAAACCATCCTGCTTATCCATCCCAATAAGATCACAGCACTTTGACACTTTTTCACTTAATTTTTCATAATCTTTTGTTTAAAATATGGAGCAGGATTTCTATCTCAAAGGAAAGTTTTTCTGCCTATTGAATACATTAGAATTTTATAGGGAGCTTTTGAATATTGATACCAGCCCTCGGCTCCATTATTCAAATTAAATTCTCCTGGGATGGGACCCATCCAAAAGAATTAATATTTTTAAAAGGTTTCCCTGGTGCTTCTAATGTGAAGTCATCTGAGAACCCCTTGCCTAGGATGTGCAATAGAGACTTTGGGTAGGAGATTTTGTTGAGGGGTTCTGTTTGGTTTTCAGAAGGCTAATCTACCACCCACATCAGTTTCATTTTACTGCCAAGGAAGTGCTGAGCCTACCCAGCAGGAACCAATTTTTGTTAAAATTCATTAATTAAATAACTAAATCCCTAAGTAGTTACAGGATTTTATTTATTGGTGGTAATTACCTGGCAGCACTCTTAATTGATGAGTTTTTTTAATTATTTAATTCATTGTAAGGTACTTATTTACTAATTACCATGCATAATTTTGTTTTCGGGGTTTTTTTGATTGTTTTTTTAAGTTTACAATGCATAATTTCTTTAGTGAAACTATTAAACTGTGTAACATATAGTTTCTCAAGATTAGTCTTTCCCAGAGAGGTGTCTAATATTGAATATTAATTTGTTTTTTATAGCTAACATAGTCATTCCTGTGTCTCCCAAAACCCTCAGTAACACCTGCACTGCACAAGGTTTTTGGGTATGTAGAGAAGTTAGTTTTACACTCTGAAAAGCAGGGAGAGTAGAAGTAGGACCAGGAGAGATGTACAGACAAAACTAACTTAGTGACATGAAGAATTCATAGAAATGTTAAAGGATTTGAACTTCCATAGGACGAGTGGAGGAAATAGTCTTATCAGATACATTAAATCATACAGTATTTATATAAATGATAATCAACATATCCTGGAAATTTTAGAGAAGTAACAATTTCTTAAAATAAATGTTCTATGAGTGTTTAAACCTTCAACTATGGCTATCCTGGGAAGTTGCTACAAAAGCTACCATGAAATTTTTTTCAGTGTACCTGGGCACAGTGGCATGTGCCTGTAATCCCAGGAACTCAGGAGACTGAGGCAGGAAGATCACAAGTTCAAGGCCAGCCTCAGCAATTTAGCAAAGCCTAAGCAGCATAATAAGACACTGTCTCAAATTTACCAAAATGACTGGGAACACAGCTCAGTGATAAAGTACCCTGGGTTCAATCCCTAGTACCAAAAAAAGAAAAAAAAGAAATGAAAAAATTCCAGTGTGAAATTGTAATGGCTGCTGCTTCTGTTTATTGGTGCTGCTTAAACTTTAATGAGCACACAGATCTTGGGAAATTGTTTTAAATTCAGATTCTGGTGGAGTAGTTCTGGGCTGGGGTCTAAATTTTACATGTCTAAAAAGCTTCCAGATAATGTCAGAGCTACTGTTTGGTAGGTCACATTTCAAGTAGTTAAGTTCTTTCACAAAAATTGACCCAGAGTAGAATGGGGATCTCAGTTCTTAGCCAGAGTAAAGGCACATCCCGCCTAAACTATTTATATACCCTATAATACACATTTAAGTGTGTTGAGTTAGCTGTGGCTTTTAATTTCATATCATTAATTTCCCTTCAAATTTCTCATTTCTTTTGTCTTTATATAATATCCAAACACAAAGAAACATTGAAGTATATATCATCATCTGTATCACTCAATGTTGGTATTCCTATTTGATTCTGATATTTTTAAAGAAATAAACAGTAAAAATAAAAAGTTGGATTTCTTTTGTGCTATTCCCTAATTTTCATTTCCTTGACTTTTCCAAGGGAAGTCATGAAATGGATATGTAATCTTCCATGTTTGATAGGTGTTCTGAGATAACACATTATGTGTTTTTAGAACATAAATGATGTACAAATGTATCACCTGTTAACTATCATTCTATAATTCTTTTACAGTTCTTGGGATCTAACCATGTTGATCCTTATGATTCCTGTTTGTTCATTGTAGCTGTTATTTACTGTGGAATCATATGAATATAAATCCTTACCTGTGTGTATGTGTGTGTTTCTGTCTGTCTGAACCTCATGCATGTTAAGCAAACCAGTGCGGCAATAAACATCTCTCTTCACCACATATAAGTGTTCCTTAATACTACACCAGCAATATGTGAAAGTCTACCATATTCTTGCTAACATTTTACAAATCAGAGATTTGAAGTGGAATATAATTTTATGTATGTTTTTTATCTTCATATTCACTTTTTAAAACTGTTTCAGACTTGAGAATGTAATGGGTAATTATACATCCTGGTCAATGGAAATACAAGTTATTTCAGCTTTATTTTTATTTTTATTGGATGACCTTTACCCTCACCATGTCTTTAGAGGTGGAGGACATAGTTGTTAAGAAAAGATGGATGAGATACCTATATCAGTTAGAAATACTTTTGACTGCAAGTCTCAGAACACCAATTAAAAGTGACTTAGTAAAGAAGCTTAATTCTCCGATTTAACAAGAAGTCTGGAGGCAGATAGCAAAGGACTTAATCCCTCTTCTACTCTGCTATCCTAATAGTTGGTTTTTAACCTTGGCATATTGCCTCATGGTGACAAGATAGATCCTAGGATCCTGCCATTAAGTATTACATACAACAATAGCCCAGACAGAGCTCCATTCACCTGTAGAGAAAATAAGGAAAATCTTCCTTGTCTGTATCTTTTTAAAAAATATATTTTTAGTTGTTGATGGATCTTATTTTATTCATTTTTTTATATACAGTACTGAGAATTGAACCCAGTGCCTCACACATCTGAGGCAACCATTCCACCTCTGAGCCACAATCCCAGCTCCCTGGTCTGTATTTTTTTTTTTAATTTTTTAGTTTTAGGAGGACACGTCTTTATTTTATTTTTATGTGGTGCTGAGGATCAAACCCAGTGCCTCAGCATGCTAGACGAGCACTCTACCACTTGAGCCACAACCAGAATCTTACCATAAATCTATCCTCAGACCATTCACTGGAAAAGAGGAATGGAGGGACCAGTAATTAGATAAGAAATTGTCATTTTTTAAGAAATCCCTGGAGTCTGTCTTACAGAAAACTTACAAATAATTTTATGTAGATATAGTCTATACATGAAGGTAGAGCTTAATCCCTGCCATCCGTATTTGAGTGGAGGCTATGCTGAGTGACTAGCTTCCAAAGAATAGATTTTGGAAAAAGTGGAACACTACTTGGCCACGTGAGCAGGATTAACTCAGCAGTGAGTCATGCTGAGAGCAGGGACCTCTAGTATGTGATAAGAAGGGGGCTTTACCCTTTTGATAGTTTCCTAAAACCCATATCTCCAGTCTTAACTGTGAGAAGAGCACCAGATAAGCACAAATTGAAAGGGATTCCCAACCAGTACTCTTCAAAATTGTCAAGGTCATGAAAAACAAGGCAGGCCTGAGAAACTGTCACCAATCAGAAGAGACTAAGGAGACTATGACTAAATGTGAAACAACATCCCAGATGCCATCTGAGAATGAAATAGGAAATGAGATAAAATTTAAGACAATCTGAATAAAGTCTGAAGTTTAGTTAATAATAATATAGCAGTGATTGTTTTACTTGTGACAAATGGGCATGCTAATGTAAGATTATAAAATGTTAACCATCATGATGTAGGGATGGGGGAGCTATGTGATCCAAGGTTGGCAAATTGTCCATAAATGTTCGGGTGGGGCTTGTGGCTCAGTGGTAGAGAACTTGCCTAGCATGTGTGAGGCACTAGGTTTGATCCCTGGTACCACATAAAAATGAACAAAGGTGGAAAATATATAAATATATATATATATATATATATATATATAATCTGTTTGTGCCACTTATGTGATTTGGAGCAGATTATTAAATTTTTCTAAATATTGGTTTCTTTGTAGAATACAGGTAATAATCATAATATCTGTCTAGCAGGGTTGTTTTAAGGATTGAATAAGATAAAACATGTAACATGCTTGGGCTGGGGTTGTGGCTCAGTGGTAGAACACTCACCTAGCATGGGTGAGGCACTGGGTTTGGTCCTCAACACCATATAATGATAAATAAGGTATTGTTTCCATCTACAACCAAAACATATTAAAAAAATGTAACATGCTTTGTTACATGTTATATACAGAACTATAATATAATAAACTAGATAATGATTTCCAACTTATTTTAATGCACCTGTGTCGATTTCAGTGAAATATTCACAGAACTAAAAATTGGGATTTAATGGGTTAAGCAAGTACATTAAAAAATATACACAACAAACAGCTCAGGGCAATAAATCTGATGACAGAAATAATTTATTTTTTCTAAATTGTGTACATAGGAATTAATGCAGAGGGACTAATAAATAGAAGCAGCTGCCATTACAATTTCACACTGGAAATTTTTCTCTTTTTTTTTTTTGGTACTGGGGATTGAACCCAGGGTACTTTATCACTGAGCTGTGTTCCCAGTCATTTTAGTAAATTTGAGACAGTGTCTTGCTATGCTGCTTAGGCCTTGCTAAATTGCTAAGGCACATGAGACCCCAGGTTCCTTTGCCATCATGGCCAAAAAATGAAGAAGTAATGTGAAAAAAAAATACAACTTCTTTGTAGGTCCTGATGTTTGTTTTCTTAAAACCTAAGTTAGGTCCTATTAGGTACTTAATAAAGGTCATAAAAATATAGAAGTTTGTTTTGTATTTCTTTATGCCCCCTTCCCAAAGTAATATGTGTTTGTTCATATGACACTTCCACTTGGTAAGAAAAATAAAAGCAGTTTAACACATTAACTCTTCAAATATTTATGAAAACTAGTTTGGATACAACCAGGAATCCACATAAAAAATAGGGTCTTGCCAGGCACAGTGGCACACACCTATAATCCAAGCGACTTGGGAGGCTGAGGCAGGAGGGTTGCAAATTCAAAGCCAACCTCAGCACAAGCAAGGTGCCTAGCAACTCGATGAGACCCTGTCTCTAAATACCATACAAAATAGGGCTGGGGATGTGGCTCAATGGCTGAGTGCCCCCGAGTTCAATCCCAGGTACCTGAAACAGGGTCTTTAGGATTAAGAGACATCAAGAAAGAGACTATGGTTGTGGCTCAGTGGTAGAGCACTTGCCTAGCATTTGAGGTACTAGGTTCAATCAAGACATAAAAAATAAAGGTATTGTGTCCATCTATAATTTAAGACTTTTTTTTTTTTTTTGAAAGAACAATAAACCAAGTCCCTGCCTAACCTGAAAATGCCTTAAAAGCCAGTCACTGGGCTGGGGTTCTGGCCCACTGGTAGAGTGCTCACCTAGCACAAGTGAGGCACAGGTTTGATCCTCAGCACCACATAAAAATAAATAACAAAAATAATAGCAAATGGAGTGAAAAAAAAAAAACTAAAGCCAATCACCTTTGTCCTTTGAGCCAGCTGGACAATGGTATATCTTCCTTCTGCTCAAGCAAGATGTCCCAATAGAGTCTTGTTCCTTTGAAGTTGTGCCTTTATTTGATTCTTCTGTTGACAGCATAATAACTCACTGAGCCAGTGAGCATTCTAATATCCCATTTTGAGATGATGCACACGTTGCCAGGTATCAAAGCTCTGTAAAGGGCTTCCAGATACACAAGTTTGTCAGCTGAGATTATTTAAAAGTCATTCTGCCTCAGAGGAAGTGCCTGGTGTTCTCATAGTTTTTGGAAATCCTCCCTAAGCACTCTAATGAACAGAACTTTCTTCCCCTTCCCCTCTGTACCTTTCTCTCTTGTGAAGCCAGAAAACTCAAGAATCATGGCAGTAAAGACTTATTTCCTGGAAAACCAAAATTTGGTGACTGCTAGGTACAGTGTTCTAGATCATCCCCACATGGGCACATAATCTATCGGAGAAGCAGTGGAAGTAACCTTTTCCTCCAGTAAGAAGGGTCTTTAGGGAGTCCCCAGATCCTTTTCTGCCACTACCCTAGGGGACTGGTGGTCCCCAGACCAGCAGTGTTGGCCTCAAGTTGGGGCCCATTCCAAACTTAATCAGGATCTGCATTTTAGTGAGTTTCCTGGTTGAGTTCTACCTACTTTAAAGTTGAGGAACTGACATAAGGACCCACTGTGGGACAAGGGAGAGGATTTGAAGGCTCTAACTTGGGGCCTTTCCACCAAGATGGGGCCAAAAGTAAAGAAGGAAACTCTTGCCCTTCCCAAAGGTGAGGCCAAAGCAAAGGCACTAAAGACTAAAAAGGCAGTGCTGCCAGGCACCCACGGGCAGAGAGACCCGTCACTGCCGCCTGCGACTCGAGACAGCCCAAGTATGCTTGGTAGAGTGACCCCCAAGAGAAACAAGCTTGACCACTGTGCCATCCAGTGCCTTCTGACCACTGAGCCTGCGAGAAGATGGAAGACAACCGGTGTTTATCATAAATGTCAAGGCCAACAAACACCAGATTAACAGACTGAAGAATCAAATATGACATTGATATGGCCAAGATCAAAACCCCAAGAGGGTCTGATGAAGAGAAGGCATACGATCAGCTGACTCCTGCTTATGATGCTCTAAATGTTGCCGACAAATTTGGGATCATCTAAACTGAATTCTGCTGGCTAATTTTAAATATTCATGTTTTCATTAAGAAGGAATGGGGAGGGGAAAAGGACCGGAGAAAGGTAATTAGCAAACTTAGAACCACAGGAATGACCAATTAAGGGACCAGATAAGGGTCTCCCTGGTGCTTTATATCTAACTATTAACCTCGTGGGCTGGGGGTGTAGCTCACTGGTAGAGTGCTTGCCTGGAATACATAAGGCCCTAGGTTCAATCCCAACATTCCCCCACAAAACTTTTTATTTAGAACAACCTGGTTCCTTAATGAACATATGAACTGAAATACTTCTTTCTAATCCCTCTTCAATTCTGGAGAGAAATCTGGGAATTAAAGACATAGGTCTGGTATTAATGCAAACAAGTTTTATATTACCCAACCCAGTGAGGGACAAATGTACATTAAGCAAAGCAAAACCGGACTCAGCAAGAAATATGGCCAAAGTTTTATCAGTTAAAAAAAAATCAAGATAGGAAGTATGGAGTGACTATATAGAGTGCTTTTGTGCAACTTAGAAAAAGGCAGGTGAAATGGGTTTGCTGCTGGTCAGTGCCTTGGGTAAAGGAAAAGGCACCTTCTTCCATGGGACTTCAGTCTTCTTTCACCGGGCAACAGGACGTCCTTGAGTACAACTGTAAGCCATAACCTGGAAAGAAGCTCAGAGAAGACATATAACAGGACAGACTGCAGGACACTGATTTCTGCCCTCCAGATAACAGGTTCCCTCCAGCCATGCCAATCAAGTTTTCATTGACTCACTTTGTACATCATAACAGAACGCATCCTGTTACTAAATATAGAGACATTAGCTGTGTACTTATTTTTTTAATGTTAATTTCTCCTTATAATATTTCAAAAAAGGAGAAGAAAAGAAAGAAAGACATCAGACAAAACTTCACTACCGAAGTCCAACCCAAATTAGCATTTTGGTGTACTTCTTTCAGATTTTTTTCCTCTGGTATGCTGTGCAGCTCTGAACATTTGACCCAGTGAAACATTTGAGGCCTTGCATTTAGGAAAAATGGAACACTTTACAGAAACTAGTGTCAGAACTGATCTTCCACACCCCTGAAACTTGATGATGTGGACTCCAACCACCTCATTCTCACTGCAGTTCTACCACAACTATTTAGTAAAGTTCTTCCTCTAGTTAAACCTATGGTTCATGTCAGTACCCAAACACAGGACTGAGACACTTAGCCTCACTTTGCCTTCCCAGTATGATCATATTGATCAACGTTCCTTTCCTGCTTTTCACCATTACTTTTTCCATTTGGTTTTTGGAGCGAGTGGCTAGACCGGATTCATTGAAATTCCAAAGTCAGGCCTCTGGCCTGAGCCTCCAGTAACATCTTTTTATCATAATTTACTTAGCCGTTTCTCTACTGCTGAAACTTAAGTGGTTTCCAGCATTTTGTGTATCTAAGTAATATAACAATGATAACACACACAAACATTTTTTAGCTATAGTGTCACTGGGTTACAGAAATAATCAATATTTTTATGGTCCTCAATAAATGTTTCTAAAATTGCTTTCCAAAATGACGATACCAGTTGAAAATACCACTGGCAATGTCTAAGCTTACCAATTTCACAATATATTGATCAGAATGTCTTCATTTCACCATTCAATATACAGGTACTGTCCTAGGGGATAGGAAGATGAAAACAAAATTCTTGCTACTTCAGAGCTTGGATTCCAGTACAGAAATAGCAACAGGATGAATTTATAAGGATAAGCTAAAGTCTCCTAATCCCAAAATCTAAAACATCTCCAAAATGTGACATTTTCTGAAGGCTGATGACTCCACAAGTGGAAAATTCTATACCTGTACTCATCAGCAGGTCACAATCAATACAGGTGGATGAAAAGTATTGTTCAAAATTACCTTAGGCCAGGCTGGGAATGTGGCTCAAGCGGTAGTGTGCTTGCCTGGCATGCAGGCGGCCCGGGTTCGATCCTCAGCACCACATACAAACAAAGATGTTGTGTCCGCCGAAAACTAAAAAATAAATATTAAAAAATTCTCTCTCTCTCT